ATAGTCACATTGAATTGGTCAACAACATCGGGAAGTTTTCCCCAAATAATTCAGCACTCAAAAATTTCCTCAGAGTAAAAGTTACATTTGTGCTTTTTTTTTTTATTTATTATGTGTATTTTTTATGCAAATGCACTAGAATGATTAAACCGTTCCAAATATAGATACTCAAATTATCGCAATATATAATCGCAGAAAAATTAAATATTGCAATGTAATTTTCCCCAATATCCTGTAGTGATCGACCGATATACCGATATTTGCGTTTTTTACGTGTATCGGAATCGCCCGATACGCGACTGCTGTGTTCGCTGATAGTTTTTCCCGGCACGAAAAAATTTACTTTTTAAGTAAAAATTTACTTTTTAAGTTACTTTTAAAATGAAGTACATTGTTCATCTACTTGTTCTTGTTCTACATGACGTTTTTACTATTTGTTAAATATTGTTTTTTTAAAGTGAAATAAATGTTACTTTTGTTAAATCGAGACCTGTAACATTTGTTAACATCATGTCATTTTTATGAAGTAAATTTAGCGGGCAAAATGTATCGGCTCCAAATATCGGCTCAAGAAAATCGGCAGCCCGTATCGGTCATCGGCTAAGGCTGATGGGAAAAAAATCGGTATCGGTATCGGCACTAAAACATCCATATCGGTCGATCCCTAATATCCTGCAGCCAGTTCACACGTGTATGAATGGTACAAATGCTTGCTGCATTTTTGAGGAAACCGAATCTGTTGTGGTGTTTTGGATGGCCTCGCCTCCCTTACAATGGATTTACCAGAGCTACCGGTCGCCTACCACGTTAAGCAAGACACAAACACACACACACGCAGTCACACGGTGTGAGGGGGGCTGACCTTTCCCAGTAGTTGCTAATCCGGAGTGTATTAAAAGCAGCTTTTGTCTGTTGTGAAAGGCATGGGCAGTGTCTCCTCCACCCCCTCATCTCCTGTCTGTTTGTCTTCTCTTTTATGTTCTCCTCTCCTTCTTTGGGTTGCGTTCACCCCTCTCACTCCTCTTCGTTCCCGACGGCCGGCTAATCCTCTGAGTTGTGCTCCTGAGAGCGTGGTAGATGAGGGTGTTGCTTGAATGCGAGGTGTACCAGCTGCCAGAGCTTCAGTCTCACTCCTCGAACCCTCACACACAATAAGAGGACTAATCCTCGAGTAACACACTCGTGCGCTCGCAGACATGCACATACACAACAGGCCTCGCACACTCAAGTGGCTCTTTCAACGAGGAGCCTGAGACAGTCCATTTCCACAAGGTTTCGGGTCTCCAAACTTCTGGTGATGCCTTACATTCAGTTAATATCGTAATCTTTAATCAATATAAAGATACGTAATTAACATGTTGATATAGGATTAATGGGTTAGTTCACCAAAAAATGACAAAAAAATGACTCCTCCTCATGTTGTTCCAACCCCATAAGAACCTCGTTCATCTACGGAACACAAATTAAGATATTTTTGATGAAATCCAAGAGGCAGCAACATCATTAAAGGGATAGTTCACTTTGAAATGAATTGTTGGTATGTTTTATCTCACCTCAAGGGAATCCAAGATGTAGGTGTCTTTGTTTCCGCAGTATTTTCAATTTTGATATTTTTAGGTCAAACCGTTCTTTGTCTGTCAGTCATATAATGGAGGTCTATGGTCACCACCTCAAAGAGCATGCACAGAGAAGTCCAAATTAAACATGTAAACGTAAGTACACATCGATGGCCTAAGACACGAAACGAGCGGTTTGTGTGAGACAACGAACAGTATTTATATCGTTTTTACCTCTTGTATCCACAGCCACGTCCAAGTGATCTGAGGGTCCGCAAGCGCCGGAAGTGATCTCTCGCGCTTGTACGTCACTCATTGTTTACACAGAGATTTCCGAAGTGTTACCTTTCACTGTGAAGATCTAAACATATTTAGATATACAGGAAATTGCAATGGAAGACGATTTCGATATATCAACAGACAACGTTGATTTTTTTTTTTCGCAACCGTGCGAGAGATCACTTCCGGCACAGACCGAAGCGCCCGCGTCCTCAGATCACTTGGACGTGGCTGAGATTACAAGAGGTAAAAACGATATAAATACTGTTCATTTTCTCACACAAACCGCTCATTTCATGTCTTAGGCCATCAATGTGTACTTACATTTACGAGTCATTAAATCGTGTTTAATTTGGACTTCTCTGTGCATGCTCTTTGAGGTGGTGACCATGGACCTGCATTATATGACTGACAGACAAGAACGGTTTGACCTAAAAAATATCAAAATTGAAAATACTGCGGAAACAAAGACACCTACATCTTGGATGCCCTTGAGGTAATCTAAAACATACCAAAAATTAATTTTAAAGAAAACTATCCATTTAAGGTCCAGAAAGGTAGTAAAGACATTGTTAAATAGTCCATGTGACTCCAGTGGTTCAGCCTTAATGTTTTGAAGGGACGAGAATATTTTTGTGCTCAAAACCCTCCCAAATTCAACAATCTCTTCTCTTCCACATCATTCAGCATAACACGCATATGTCGCGGTGTTCAAGTGAGCAGCTTCGACCAATAGTGAGGCGGCGTTCTGACATACAACCAGGGAGTGCAACACTGTTTACACTACGTCAACAACGTAGAAGCATGACGCCATGCGATGCGTATTACGTGTTCAGTCTCACCAACTACTGGCCTGACAGCAGAATACAGCGTTTTTAGTTGTTTTCATGAACCCGTGCGAGGAACATTTTGTCAACATTGTCCACTGGAAAAACGCAAAGGAAAAAATGTTCTGTGTTTGGTACATCTTGTTACCCTTAAACATAAACCCGACAATCAGCAAGAATTTTAATATTTGTGCATTTCTAGTTTTTTTATATTCAGAGCCCTGCACATGACATGCCAAATTAAATCTTTGACATCATGGCCTCGAATTAAGAATTTTCCACGAATTTGTATTCGGCTGTTCTCTAGTTTTGGTTATATAGTAGCCACTAGGGCTGGGTAATAAATATCGATTTCTCGATATTAATCGATTCTCATTTTTACGAACCGATATCGATTCTCAAATCTCAAGAATCGATTAGTCATCCTGTTTCATTTGAATGAATGGATCATTGTATCGCGGCTGCGCGCATCCAAAAAATCGCAATAATCTTTGTCCTTTGTTACTATTGATATGAAACAAAGTCTCGATTTTCAAATTACGTCCATTTTCTTTAGAAATTAAAAACATGAATAAGGTTTTGGCGCTGTGGCGTGAGATCGCTCAAGAGAAGCAGCAGCGCTGATCTCACTTCCGGGTTAATAATACCCGTCACAGCGCCAAATAAACACGAATGAGCATCTGAAAGTGTGTTAAAGATAGAGTACAACTTATCGAAATCCGTATCATGTCACATTGATTCGCTCAATCAGTGTTTCAACCGTGGAAAGACGTCAGTTAAACAGCTTGTATTCAATGTCATGTATCGTCATATTTGCCTCAGAAAACCCACATAAACTCGTTAGTCAGCTAGAAAAAATAACTCTATGAGGAGCATTTTGCTAAATATATACACCATATTACATATGCATTATAATTAGGGCTGTCAGTTTAACGCGTTATTAACGGCGTTAACGCAAACCCATTTTAACGGCGTTAATTTTTTTATTGCGCGATTAACGGTCTTTTTGTCCTAGCAAACTTTTACGTTTTTTCACATGCTTTTGCAACAGGACGCGGAATGCGTCCTGATCCATTTCGGCGTCTCGCGCTCGTCATCCACTCAAAGCCGGCTCGCAAGCCCAAACGTGTGTTTGCGGCATGCCTGTTGTTTTGTTTCCGTTCTAGCTAGATCCGCTTGCGCTTTGGTCGAAGAAGCAACAAAACGCCCTCGCGCAGCGCAAGCCATTGAGATGAATGGGTTCAGAGTGCCGCGCGAGGACGTTTCATACACACGTTTCGGCTTGCGAGCCGGCCAAATAGGAACCTTTCGTTTTGAGTGGATAACGAGCGTGAGACGCCGTAATGGATGCCCTTAGAAGATTCTAAATGGAAAGTATAATTTTAAAAAGTTGCCAAATTGTCCCATTGACAAGACCAAGTGATCTGTGTGTTTTGTCGTTGTGAACTGAGCTATCATCATCTGAGCACGTCCAGTCTGAAACACCACTTGATGATGGCCAAGCACACTCATACACACACACAGATGATGCGAATTCTCCACCCCCTCGTCAATATCAGGACCTCGTCAGTATTTCTTTCACCCTTTTATTGATAGACAGTGTAACATAGTGTGAGAGATTATTTACTGTATATATGTTAGTGTGAAATTGAACACTATTCCAATGTTATTTTTAATAATAATAATAAAAAAAACATTTGCCCTAAACAAGCCGATTCACTTTTCCATGTTGACAAGAGCATTAAAATGAGAAAAAAATAATGTAACAAAAAGAAATCAAAAGACATTTAGAATAGATAAAAATGTGTGATTAATCGCGAGTTAAATATTTTAATCGTTTGACAGCACTAATTATAATCTTAATGTTCTTCAATATTTAATGCATATTTGAATAAATCTGGCAAGTTTTTATGACAGCCACCATTTAAATGTTTATATTTCATATAATCTTCTTATTATGAAAATAAATAAAAGTGTAATTTAAGTGTTTGTATAGCTACAAAACAGTTCATTATTACCTTCATATTAGGCTAATGAAGCCTATTGGCTACAACTGACTCCCATAGTGTACAGCATTTAAGAGATTTGATTCCCTTGAGAAAAATGGCCATTTATTGTAACTGATATCCAAAATAATCGTAATCGAAATCGAATCGAATTGTGAAATTTGTCTCAATACCCAGCCCTAGTAGCCATGTTGTATTAATTAATTCCCTTGATTTATTTTAGTTAAATAATGCATGATATTTAGTTTTTTTCCCACATGTCATATTTATATGAATGTACAACCTTTCCATTATATATTCAATAATACAAAGTAATGCGTTGCTCTCTGCAGATCTGTTTGAGTCTGATGAGGCTGCTGCATTATCTGTCCCACTCCCCGCTCGGGTCCGTCACCCTGCTGGACTTCAGGCCACGGCAGTTCGTTCTGGTGGGGGGAGTGCTGAAAGTGACCGACCTGGACGACGCCAGTGTTGAGGAGACGCCTTGCTCCCCGTCTTCTCCTTCAGACTGTCTCATGGAGTTCCCCGCACGCAACTTCACCCTCCCCTGCCACAAGGGCCGCTGTCAGGGTATCAACGAAAAGAGGAACCTCTACAATGCCTACAGGTGTGTGTGCTCCTGGCCTGAGATCTGAGACGACTTGTGCTTTATTTGTGTGTTTTAGGGTTTATTTAAGGTGAAATGTTGACATAGTTCTCCATATTTTGTAGATTTTTCTTCACCTACTTGTTACCTCACAGTGCCCCCTCAGCACTGAGACCCCTTTTGGATAAAATCGTCAACTCTACAGGTGAGTTTGATTTCACTGGGATTTCGCTGGGATTTGGGATTTACAAATACAATACAAACTCATATTTTTCACTGCACCCCTAAAGTTGTTTAATGCATTCCTATATTTTTAGGAGTGTATGCGCCCCTTGTAAAAAGTAACTCCTTGACCTCCTCTTCACATCCCGACATTTCTCTCTCTGTCCGTCGGCATGCCTTTTGTCTCAGGCCTTAATTCCTTTCCTGATGCGCTCTATCATCATGTTCATCAGTATAGTGGCATGTCTGATAGCGTTTGAAATCTGGGACACAACAGTCCGTGAAGCCGCGGGTAGCGTGGGTGGCCCAGACTCGATCCTATCTTTCCCTCCCCGTGTCACGAAACGCCCACTTCAGCATCACTCCGTAGGAATGTTTTCCTAATGACCGAATGTAAACCGTTAATAGTTGGGATGTTTATGCTGTTTGAATGTGTTTCAGGAGAGCTGATATGGAGCACCGACGAGACTCTGGTTCACCTCGAAAAAGTGCTGGATATCTACAGGAACGGACATTACCTCAAGAATAACACGCAGACACACAAAACAGGTGAGTGACCCAGACAGATACCAAAACACCTTGACCGTTGACATCACTGAACACTTTCCAATGACCAATTCAGATGCTCATTCAAAAAGGCAGTTCTGTTTCAAAAGCCAGCTCGCATTTTAAGGCAAGACGGGCACTTCTAATACTCTTCGAAATGGGAGGCCTTGGTTATTCGGCCTTGTAAGATACTAGCTTGGCACCATATGTGCTTCAACAGAGTTATGTACTCCCAGAATGCACTGCAATGAGCTCATTTACTAATCCAAAATGAGAAATGTGTACTATTTTAATATTTAAATGAATTTGGAACTGTTTGTTTAAATAAAAATAGTTTGATTAAAATTACGTCCAGTTTTTACACCAGTTTTAAAAAGAGACTAAAGTCAGATTAACATTTGTAAAGATTAAATTATGTACAGTCAATATTCAGTTTAAACATACTTTTTTTACTCTTTATTTTAGTCTCGGTTTCAAATACAGATATCTTGATTCATTATTACTTAACCCTTTATGACATGCCATAGAAGAATTCCACCAGAGTATCTATTTTTACATGCTGTGCTGTCATTCTTTTGAGCATTTTCATATGCCATACATATAATAATCCTTACTCTCCCAGTTGGAAGGCTATGTTTGTAATAAATCAATAGTAACTAGATAAATATCTCAAAAGTGCAATAAACAAAAAGAAAAACTATTTTTTTATTTTTTTTCTACATGTTTTATTCAATATAAAAAAATGATAAAAGTCAACCTCAAACTTGTCAATGTGTAGTTTTTAAGATACACTCATTTTTACACTAAAAATGCCATGTAAAATATTCAATTATATTTGTGGTCAAACAGATAACCTTTTGCTTTTGAATATTGATTGAACAATGAATTAGTTAGAATATAAAATAAATAGAGAAAATGTCAGAACAATTAATAATAAAATAAATATAAAATAAATAAATAAAGCCGATGAGCAGACGGAGAGTTCAGCGCATCCGTGTACTTTCGTTTTGAAATAACGTTGCGCACGTGTGTGTGTGTGTGTGTGTGAATGTGCTTGTATTTGCGAGTGTCTAAACGAGAAAAAGATGATAAAATGAACCAATAGTAAAAAGACAGTAACGATAAGAAGGAACATATACAGTCCCTCCAGGATTTCACGATATTTTTTTTGTGATTTTTGCGATCAAAATGACTTGCGATCAAAAAATGTGCGATTTATATATAACATTTACCATAATAGTATTTAGTCCTTCCAGAAAAACGCAGAGTTTTTTTGTGATTGTTGTGGGCAAAAAATTGATTGATTATGCGGCCCGTTTTCTTTAAAAATGCAATGGAATATGCGGGATATTTATGCAATTTTATGCGATGAAATTGCAGGAATTTGCAAAAATTGAGGGAACTTGCAAAAATTGCGGTGTGATGAAAAAGAGAAAAAAAAGTGATTCCCCCAACATCCTGTTCTCACTAGGCTAATGTAAGAGTCATTTTCTTATTACTTCCTTTGATAAGCAAGCATACTACATCATAGAAAGTGCTGGGAATATTTAATTTCTCATCTTGTTTTATTTCAGACTGTAACGAGTGTAAATAAGGTGTGGCCCCTTTAAGAGCTGCGCGCTCCCTGTTGAACTCTCTGCAGTGTTATATGTGCGCATCGAACGCCCCATGTGTGCGGGTAATTTCTGTTTGATGCTACTTCTTTTATCTCATGTTGTTTATTAAGTAACGATGTGACGGTAGAACGTGTGACAGACAGTTATACGAGTTCGATTTGTGTCAATCGCCTCCGTTTAGTCTGTCTGGCGTCGCGTAATTGCGTCACTTCATAACGTTCCCATGGAAACAGGGGGAAATGGCTGCTCTTGTATGAAGCAAACGCAACATTTTTCAACTTTCTGCTAAGATACATGTGACTTTTTTTGCAACGAAAATGCGAGGATTATGAAATTATGCAAACCCCGCATATTTTGCACGGAAATCGGCAATTTATGCGGCGAAAGTGCGGCGTATTTGAAAAAATGCGGCCCCGCATAAATATGCGGACTTTGGCTGATTTTGCATTGAATTCAGCGATCGCATAATCGCGTTTTTCTGGAGGGACTGCATATAGCAGATGGGAGTCAAACGCATGGTCAAATGACGCAGCTTTTGACGTCACAACATGTGACACACGCTGGGGTCATAGTGCACAGAACATGATCCATCCATGAGCCATCAGAAGATGTAACTATCTACAGAACATGTGTGCGAAGACGTGCATTGCATTTTTGTGGGGGTTTTTTGTAAACGTATTTGTGGGTTTTTTTTGTACGACTCATTAGAGGGTGAAAACAACGCAACAAAATTGGATCGGGTTCAATTTTCTGCGTTTTTCACATCCACAGCCAGCATTTTGAGAGGTTTTTTGACAATTCAGGGCCGGGGGGAGCTCGTTTACTGCCTATACGCCTTATTCACGGCAGCGCCATCTTTGATTTTTAATGAGAATGAAAGCGAGGCTGTGAGGGATAGTCATGCATCTCTTCAATGGGCTGTACTGTTATTTAATGTGTTTTCGGATTGTTCTGCTCATGAAACACTGGAAAAATATCTTTCCAAGAAATGTCAGTTGACAAAAAACTCCCGACAATGTAAGCTGTGGAAAATTGTAAGTAATCTAGCCGCTTTATTCAGCTTTTTATAGCGGATGCCATTGGAAACACGGTAAGTCTATCCCTCACAGCCTCACTTTCATACCTGTCATGGCGCTGCTCTGAATAAGGTCTATGGAGCTCGTTCCGCACATCATTGCACATATGCGTAGTGCTTTCAGTTTCGGTTTTCAATTCGATCAAGTATGTTCTCTTCTCTCGATTGGATTATGAAAGGAATAAACCTCCCCTTTCAATCAGATTGAAATTTCGGATCGAATAAGGTGTGATAGAGCAGCCAATTCGATAATGTATTATTTTGGCACTATATATAACAGCCTATACAGCTGTTCTGTCTACCCTGCGCTTCCACCGGGCCGCGCGCGCGTGTGTGTCCATACCTTAGACACACTGCCAGACTCTGTTCAGGATTGATTGGTTCACGGAAATTGGTGGTCTTGTTTTTAATATGTGGCTCCAGAATGGCACCAAAGCATCAAACGTTTCCACTGACAATCTGAGGTAAATTTTGAATCTCTCGGGATAAATTCGCAACTCATTGATAAGGAGTTGCGCAATTTCAGGATTGGATGGATGTAATATTTTCTCTTCTCTTTTCAATAAGAGAGAGGACAACAAAATCATCCTCACTGCTTGACGAATCCATTTTGTATTTTGTGCGTTTTTTCCTGCAAAAGGTTTAATAAATATGCATCGGACATCGGAGTGTGCAAGGTTTCTGTGCGTGACGAATTTTTAGGCTGACGAACACGAAAAAACGCATACGAAAATTTCGTACTCAGTGTGCAATGGCCTTTAGAGGGTTAAGCAGGGAAAATGTCGTGTAAGGTGCTCTGTTTTGAAACATGTATCAAAATTTTGTTTGTAAAGTTTTCTGCCGATGGGGTACACAAAATAAACTTGCAGATTAAACAAGCTGGCAGATTTTTTTGTCGTTTTAAACTCAATTAATTTTGACCGATTTTTTCAGAAAACAAGACTTACTATATTAATGGATCTTGATTTAAGGACGTTTAGTGGAAAACAAGACAAAATTACGTCACACACAAAAAAAGATGCACAAAGCTTTCTTTAAGACCCAGGCCTGGGTTTCTCACTGGTGTTCTTGTGCTCATCTCGTAAATGCCGTCAATCTGGAACGACAAATCCTGGCACTGAATGGGTTTCCTCAAATCTCCCCGGAATTAACCAGTTGTTCAGTCAGCAGAGAGAGGGAGAGAGTTTGTGTGTGCATGTAAGGACAAATGAGAGGAGATTTAGAAGATTAGAGTTTATATAACTGGTGAGCAGAAGCTCTGCTTACGTTCCTGACGGACAAAACAGCCATTTCAGTCTCTTTCCTACTCGCTCCACCCGTTTTTAACATTATGTTCATATTCTCTTTTTCTTTCTTTGCTCGTCCCCATGCTCCACTGGCAGTCTAAAGCAGACACTTGTTGACAGATGAGAGCGTTAAGCAAGAAAGGGCCATCTTCTCCAGAGATATTAACTCTTTCCACTCTCATGCACCCCCAGCTGTCTTTGCTGTCTTTTTCATTCACAGTTCTGTGCTGCGTTAAGCCCCTCTTTTTTACGTTTAACTATAACTAACTAGAAAAATCATGCTTCATACCAATTTTGAAAAATGCTATTTTATTCCATCACTTTTTTGCTGATTAGGTACATTGACGAACCATTCAGGGGAGCGTTTCCTGAAAGCATCGTTAGCCAACTACGGTCCCAAGTTCCGTCGTTATCAGCATAGTTCAACAAGTCGGTGTTTCCCGAAACAATCGTTCCAACGAACATTCGCAAACAGCATCGCAAAGTTGTGTGGTTTGAACGACAGCTGTGGTTAGAGGCATCGTTTCTATATTGCAACACATTTGGAGGTAATAAATCCTTATCTTGAGCAAAATAAGCAAGCTGACATTCAGTACAACCGGTGCCTTTTATTTAGAATAAATACAAATGTAATTTACGTCTGTTCGTTTTAAGATTTATAGTACCGATTTTGAAGAGTGCGCATGTGCGAACGTGCTCTGTAAGAACGAGCCAAATATTGAGTCTGGTAATAAAGCACAATAACTGATATCAATTAGAAATAGTCCTCAGATGACATGTCTGTAATTTATATAAAACAAATCTAGCGTTAATTGGATCTCAAACAGTTTCATTAAAAGTAGCTATTACTCCACCACGTGCGAAACCAACGTGGTTGAACGATACTTTGCGACAATGGGTTTCGGGAAACAGTCGTGACTAGCTAGTTGATTTCTCCAACGATGCATACTAGTGAAGCAGCGAACTACATAGTTGTATGGGAAACGCACCCCAGTACAATTTTATGAGAATGATGAACATTCAATA